TAATAATAATAATATGTCATGGGTGAAATGCTAGATGTTCACTCTTCATGGTCTAATATGTCAAGAATTGGCCTACCTAATCATGGGGAAACGGGAAGACAACTAGAATTAAAAAAAGACACTGATTATGATGAAAGTGTTCACTCTTCACAGTCCCGATGCTGCGGTCCCACTTATCACGTCATGTGTGAAAGTGAGAAGAAACCAAACTGATTTGTTTATGTCATGAATTATTATAGGGACTTATCTTGTCACCTTATAAAACGAATGGATTTTCCTTCACCGTTAAATAATTTCCTTCCCGCCCAACGGCAACCTGATTACAGGTGGAATAGGTGTTGTCTAATACCATCTTCAAGTCTGCACCAAAATTTACATTATTTTGTATCAAACTAAAAATTAAATCCAACCCATTACACTAAAATTGCACCAAATGAACAAAATGTATTCATTTTCTTCATTTTTCTTATTCTTAAGAATTTATATAGCTAAAATACCACAACTAAGAAAATATTAAATCATGTTATTAAAAACAACGTAATATATTTAGAATCCTGAAATTACGATACGACAAAGTCGTCCTAGTTTCGTAATTTAGTTATTGGAATTCATAGATTCATCCTACAAATGTTTCGTTTTATGTATCATTGAGTGACGTATGAATGTGGCCGGTGTTATAGTTTCACTTTAATTTTAAATAATTATGTTTGTTGCATTTTAAAACTTTTGAGAACTTTTATTTTTATTACTGATTACACAATTAAAGTTTATTACAAAAAATTGAAACCAAGACTAGGAATTTTTGACATACGAAATCAAAAATCGTTACTCTTTCGACACAAGAAAAGGACACGAGGACTTTCAGCCCTCTACTCTACCAGTTGAGCTATCCCGACCATTCCCATAACGCTGAATAGGGAGTCACTGAATACACTAGCTATGCCTAACATGTAAAATGGGTGCATAAGGAATTGTGCTCAGTTTGGCATATCGATCCGTACAGTGCTATAGCTAATGCATTAAGTATCTCGCCTGGGGAGTGGCTATGAATATTTATTGACTTCCAAGAAAGGGTAGAAAAATGGGACCTAAAGAGGATTCCTGCATGTTGCTTTCCTGCTGAGAAAACATTCATTTTTCAGCCCACAATTATCCATCAGCGCTTCCTATGAACCAATTCATTAAGCATAAACTAATAGTACGAACTAGATTGTGTAACTTCACTCAAAAAATGAAACCTAACTAATAAGAAGTTTCTTCTTGACAGTGACATATGTTGTATATTAGGGATGAACACGGTTTGATTTGTGTTATATTTTCAACTTATACTATTTTATGCGGTTTGGAAGAACTGGAAGAAACCACATTCTTCCAACATTCTTCCAAACCAAACCAAACCAAACCAAACCATTATTTGCGATTTGATTTGGTTTGAAACCGCGATTTTTCTATCGACATTATAGTAATATGTATGAAATAGGTTAACACACAAATTTAAACTAGAACAAATAATCTTAAATGTTAAATAACATTCATATTTGTCTAAAATTCGATTACAAAAAGGCAAAAAAAACAGTATTAAGTTAGTATCTAGCAACAAGCATTCCACTCAAACTTTTACAAGCAATAATATCATAACAAGTACAAGAGTACTAATCTCTCATTTGACTCTAAATCATGTGTTATAGTACTCTTGTACTTGTTATGATATTATTGCTTGTAAAAGTTTGAGTGGAATGCTTGTTGCTAGATACCAACTTAATACTATTTTTTGCCTTTTTTGTTTATATATTGAATTTAAAACAAATATGAATGCAATTTAACATTATTGGTTCTTGTTTAAATTTATGTTTTAACTTGTTTTAAACATATTACTATAATGCCGATAAAAAAATCGTGGATTAAAATCGAATCAAACCGCAAATAATGGTTTGGTTTGATTTGATTTAAAGAATCAAATGGTTTTATTTGGTCTAGAATTCTTCCAAATCACATGAAATAGTTTGAGTTGAAAATATAATACAAACCGTCTAAACCAAACAGTGTTCACCCCTAAAAGTGAGATAGCAATAAATTTATTAAATTTTTAATTAATTAATTTATTTTTAAAAGTTACATTATTCGAATATAGTTGGTAAATTAAGGTCTTTTATTGTTGATCATATTCCTTAAATAATCTTTGTTGTCATCTTCTATTAGAATTAATGAGATTTCGTGAAGTTTTTTCATTTAAAGTATTGAATTCTTAAAAAATAAAAAATTAAAGGAGGCGGGGCCCCTGTTACCTATCCCCAACCCAATTACTTGATTAAGCGGATAATTCCTTGACCCGATTAGTCCCATGAATGGATCTTAACTTTTGTTTGGTAGAGATTTATAATTCCTCCGTCCCATTTATATAGGCCGGTTTTGTTTTTCACACGAATAAAGAAATTTTATTTAATGTTATTGAAAAAAGCAATTCCTAGTTTTACCCTTATTTATATTTGTACAAGTTTAAGATTAAGTGGGAAAAATTGATTATGACTAGACAAATTGAATAATGGTATATGAGTAAATGAATAAAACAGAACATTCAAAATAAAGAAACAAGACTATACAATTGGGAAAAGAAAAAAAAGTTAACCTATATAAGGGATGGAGGTAGTCTCAATTTTTAACGGATTTTGATAAAAAGTATGAAATGTGAGAATTATGATTGAAAATTGTGAATTCTATAAAATATATGTTTAAAATTAATTATTAGATTTTGATTTAAATTAAAATTTAGATCATACAAAATCCGTGCTTAATAAGTATTGGTGAGTAAATATGGCAAAGGTAAAGTGATGGATGAAATTGGAGTATTTATTGGTACGATCTTTATCGACACGTGTGGCGTGTCGTGTTAGTGGAATTTACCTATGCATGTGAGAAACTATATAACAAGGATTAATGTTGGTGTACAGGGGCGAGGCAAGGCGGGGCGGGGAGGGATGGGGTAGGCCCCATGTGAGTAAAAAAATAAAAAAAGTACCTCCCACTCCCATATGACATAAAGAGAAGATTACCACTTATGGGGTGGTCGAGTTGGTAGAGTAGGTGAGCGCAGAAGCCTTTGGTCAAGAGTTCGATTCTCCCTATCAACACTTTCTCGGTCGATTCTGTCGCACAGAGCTTGCTTAGTACTATTTATCTGGCTAGCGTGATTTACAGGCCATTTGAGGATTTACCCAGTGCGCACCCGAAAAGTAGTGGCTGCATGTTTCCCCGTCATCCAAAAAGAAAAAAAGAAAAAAAAAAGATCCGTTTGTCAGGGTTTCTCACTTACTCTTATCTTTAACTTCTTCTCCTGGCTTCTCTCTCTATATATCTCATACATACAAAATACAAATGAACTTTGGATTTACTTGGATGGTGAACAAAGAAGGAAGGCCGCCACTCCTTAGGATTAATCAGGCGAAACTTGGACACCTGAGTTATCAAAAAATAAAAATTAAAAAAAAAAATATATATACACACACACACACACACACACACACACACACACATACAAATGAACTTCTATATTGACTGCAATAATGGGCAATTCAAAAGCAATGATCTTCTTTTGGCTGCAATAATCCCTTTCCTTGTGATTTTCATGCTCTATTTGAAAAAATAATAATAATAATGACAATAAAATTATTCATACTAGCAGAGCCAGCACGGGCAGTCGCCAGTGTTTGCCGAGTGATGACTCCGCCTCTAGTAGCCATAGTCTTTATCTTGTACTTAGTGATATGATAAATTCTTGTATAATTGTTTTTATCTTCTAAAAAATAATAAAATAATGTGAAAGGTTTGACAATTGTGCTACAATAACAAACGCATTGAAAAAATCAAGTTGAAAGTGTTTAAAAAATAAGATTTCAAGTGACAAATTAAAGCAACTTTAAAACGCTTGGTAGAAACATGTAATGTCCTTGTGGCATTTAGAGATGCTAAAGTTTATTTTCTGATATTATGATTTTTGAGTTATTGTTTGGCATGGTTATTCAATAAAGTATGTCTGCTATTAATAAAGTAAGCAAAATCTTTTACGAAGTGAGGACATCTATTGATGCTATTATTAGGTACTTGAAATAACTTATTTTATTTTTTTTAAACATATCAAGAAGCAAGATTTGAATCTGACAAGATTACTGCTAAATATATTGCCATTCAAATGAAAGTTGAACATGCATTTCATGAAAAACATGTTATTCATTGAAAGAGTTATTTTGATGAAAATTTCAATATTGAAATAACACATTTAGTTGAAGAATCATTTCGAGTTGGTTATTTTTTAGATATGTTTTTTTTCATTTTAGTTGATGGTTTAGACAATTTCAAAATATGAAAATACTTTTGGATTTTTGTTTGAATTTAAAAATGAAAGATTGCAGGAGTTAATTCTTAGAATTGTTGGTGCGATAAACTTGAAATTTTTTTGAAATATGATAGAATTTCTGATATTATCTGCAAGAGTTATTTTTTGAGCTACAAACTTGAGAACTTGTTTGTCAAATAGACAAAAAAGGCATTTGATGTTCTAGTCTATATTAAAAAGATGGACTGTTGTTTTTAAAATGTGGGGATTAATTATTGACCATACCATTTACTTGTATGTGTCTAGGGTAGCTTCTCAGAGTGAAATCGATAAATCCTACATTTGGTCAACAATGCCATAAGAAACGTTGAATGAATTGGCCATGATATCTATTGAAAAAGAATTTTAAAACATATTGATTGTTATAGTATGCTCGTTGATTTTTTATTTAAAAAAAAAATCTAGAAGAATAAATTTATTTAGACATTTGAAAGTTTCATATCATCATCATCATCATTATAGGGTCTTATATTCGAAGTTGAATCTTATATTTGAAGTTGATGTAAGGCTCCTAAAAAAATCAGGATCGACACTGTTCCCACTAATAATATCTTTTAATGTAGACACTGATTAAAATCATTTCCCAGTTGACTATTTGGCAGCCATTGATCTTTGCTAGGGAGGAAATTTCACATAAACACTGGATCTTTAAATGCTAATCTTTCTTTCCCTTCAATTCTTCAATCTTCTGCTCCCGCCTTGTCTTTCATCTCTGGTTCGGTGATAGTTGAAACAAAAAAACATGTACATCTCTACTTACCACATTTCCAAAGTTTTAGAAGATCAAATTTTCCTAGATTTCTTGTATTGTGAACTAGACAAGGATGTAAGTTTTGAATCATTTCGTGGGCATTCGAGACTCATTCCAATTTCTGCTGACTACATAAATAATTTTTTCTTCGACCAAAATCATGTAATGAATTTACTTAGTAGACTTGAATTTGCAGCATGGCGGTGCGGATCCAAAAGTAGAGAAGAATACAAGAAATTTTTGAATTGTTTTGTTTCGTTCGTGCAAGAGCTTAAAGTATTCTTCGCAGTCCCAAAGCAACAAATGTCAAAGATCACGAATCCCCACCATAATGAACTTGTGGTTTTTATCAAGTTTCTTCTCCAAATTTTAGAAGAAACAGAGAGTCTTGAGACAGAGTCAATTGTTTCAGTCAAGCTTTCAATCAAAATTCTTGAGACAGAGCTTCGATTTCTAATCACATTTCTTGGGGATACACCAATGTCACATCCCACTGAAACCGAGAACATGTTGACAGATATGGAATCTCTGGTCAACGAGGTAGGAAATTTCTTATTTTCCTTCTTATTTACCTGGAATGATCCAGTCATGATGACTGGAGTATTGGATCTGTCTATATCAGATTTGTTATCAAAGTTCGAGCTATTGAAAACAAAGATTAAGGAGCACTGCATCACAGTCTTCAAGTTGCCAAGTATTATGACTCCAAAGACACGTGTGGTTTCAGTCTTCATTGTGGATACCCTCCTTGATGACCTCAACAACCTAATGAATCACAGGGCTTACACTATTGATGGTGTGCAAGATCAAATCATCACACTCCATGAGGAGCTGATGTTGCTAACATCCTCAATCGAAGATGTAGTGTCGGTGTCGCAGACAAAGACAAAAGTTGAAGAGATTGTGATGGGAATCGTAGACATAGCCTATGAAATTGATTATGTTATTAACTCTTTTCCTCCTGTTTGGTATCTCACCCTCAGGCTCCCTCAATTCATGGAAAGTTCTAGGCTTAATAGGATAGCTATCAAAGAAATGCAGAAAAATATTGATGTTGGAATACCAGAAGCTATAAAATATCCGAGTGAACAAGAATTGCCACCTCCCAACTCAGAAGACATATTTGTTGGGTTCAAGAATGAGGAAACCAAAATTGTAGGGCAACTTGTTGGAGGACTGAACAAGCTACAAATTGTTACCATCTTTGGGATGCCTGGACTCGGTAAGACAAGCTTAGCAAAAAAACTTTACAACAACGAATCCATTGTTTATCATTTTGACAAACGTGCTTGGTGTGTTGTTTCACAAACATATCAGACTACAAACATGTTGATTGAATTATTGAGGTCAACAAGCCACATAAACAAAGAAAAGATTAAAAAAATGGACGAAGAAAGCTTGGTCGAAGAGCTTTACAAGAGTTTAAAAGGAAGGAGATATCTCATTGTCATGGATGATATATGGGATACTGAACCGTGGAATGATTTGAAAAGATATTTCCCAGATGACAGTACAGGAAGTAGAATCTTATTCACCACTCAGCACAAAGAAGTTGGTGTGCAAGCTTCTCCTAATAGTGTCATCAATAAACTTCCTTTCATGTCCGAAGCTGAATGCTGGGAATTATTACAACGGAAGGTGTTTGAGAAAGAAAATTGCCCACCAGAATTGCTGGATATTGGGAAGCAAGTCGCAAAAAATTGCCTGGGACTACCTCTTGCAGTTGTTGTGATAGCAGCAGTTCTTGCAAATATGGAGAAGAAAGTATACTTGTGGCAAGGAATTGTAGGGAGTTTAAATTCACTCATATATGAAGACTCAAACAATTGCATCCAGATACTAGAACTTAGTTACAAGCATTTGCCTGCGCATTTGAAACCATGTTTTCTTTACTTTGGAGTATTCGATGCATACAAAAAAATCCCAGTACGCAAGTTGATATCACTATGGATTGCCGAAGGATTCATAAAGAAAGAAGCAAACAGGCATCCAGAGGATGTGGCAAAGGGATATTTGATGGACCTAATTGACAGGAGCCTAGTTCTAGTCGTAGAAAAAAGATCTGATGGGGGTGTTAAAACTTGTAATATTCATGATCTATTGCATGGAATGTGCTTGAGGATAGCTAAAGTGCAAAAACTTTCTGAAGGTGACGGAAAAGTAAGTTCTCTGTCTCTCTTCTTTTCTCTGTCGTCTTTTACCATTTCTTTATATTTTACTGATAATGGTGGCTATTTTTTATGATCATATATTGCTCTGGACAATGATGATAAATGATGATCGTATTATTCATACTGAAGACCTGTTGGAGAACGTGTGTGCTTCTTGTTAGGCCGCAGGGTCTTGGACTTGTCACACTCGGACTTGGGATATTATTATCAAACTGAAGAGATTGAACCAATGGCTGCAATGAGGTACTTGGCAGGTTCACAGATATTTACATTAGTTCAGCTGAGGTACTTAGCAGGTCCAAATATATTTTCACTGAAATCAATCGAAAGCCTCCACAAAATAGAATTTCTGTTTTTGGACAATGCCAAAGAAGTGGAAATACCTGACATCCTTCTTAATATGGCTAGCTTGAGAATTCTGAACTACACGGGTGGTGCATATTTCAGTAAATCTAGCCATTGGCGAGCAACTAAGGATGAGAGCTTCCAAATATATAACCTACAGCATATTTCTCTTCTTTCTATTCGTGATAGTAAGGATAAGGAAATTTTGAGATGTTCACCAAATCTTCGGAGATTGAAATGTCAAGTTGAAGTATTTCAGGATCCATGTCTGCCCTACTTGCCATTTCTTTCATTTGAATTTCTTAATCAGCTGGAGTCATTCAGTTTAAAATTTTGTGGTCCTAAGGGGAGAGATTTTGATCCCAATTGGATTAGTTTGCCCTTGAATCTCAAGAAATTAACTCTAAGTAACACTTCTTTGTCTACGGAACAAGTGAGCGTAATTGGGAGGTTGCAGAATCTCGAGGTTCTCAAATTGCAATATGGTTTCCTTGATGCCAAGCAATGGGACACAAGGGAAGATGAGTTCCAACAACTCAAATTCTTGGAACTAAATGGGGAAAAAATTGAACAATGGAATGCCTCTAGTGATCATTTGCCTAGACTTCAACGATTGGTGTTGAAAAATTGCCACCATTTGGAGATGATCCCTTTCTGTTTAGGTGATATTCCAACATTACAAATGATAGAGGTACATTCGTGCAATATATCAACAGTAAAATGTACTATGCTAATTTATGAAGAACAACGAGAGATGGGAAATGAGCTTCAAGTCCTTATCTCAAGCAACACGCACTGTGAGTAAACAGAGCATCAGTTTCTGGTTGTGCACGAATAACAGGTCTCTTTTAATTTATATAATTGTTTGTATCTATAATTTTTGTTGTGGGAGATTCATTTAAATAACCTTCAAAGATATTTCTAGCAGTAATGGAGATAGATTCTCTCCTTTCAATCTCTTTCACATTTTTCGTCTTAGTCTTCATTCAATGTACTGTTTCCTTTGCAGGTAATATGACTTGGGCGTCTATTTGTTGTGCGCAACATAAAGATGAAATTAAACATGTATCTATTTATTATATATTTGTCTTGGGCTGAATTTCTGATAGCTGGCTCTATTTATGATCCTGTTGATGCAATATAAGGAACTAGTATTCCACAAAGTGCATTTTTTGGTGCATTGATTTTCTATTATCTGAGCTTTTTACCATGCTTGAATAATTTAAAATATGTAATATGAGTACACACGAGTACACAACCTCTAAAGAGACCTGAGACCTGGAATAAAATTGGCATTTTACAAGAGATTGTCAAAATGAAAGTAACTTGTATTTAACTGCTAATCTTCTCCAACCAGATCTGTATGACTATATCTACCACAAAAGCCCAAGCATGGCGCCTCTTCAGTCATCCACACGGAGAGAAAGCAAGATCAACATTCCAACCAATCAGCGGAGGAGCCAGTGCCAGCAACCTTTGACGGTGATGAAGAAAGCAAGATCAAAATTGAAAGATCACGTCAATGGAAGGAACGTAAATATTAAGCTTCTTGAAGACATACAAGAAATTTGCAAACTGTTTCTCAAACTTATCGTTCTGCAGCCTTTGGAAAAATAGGACTGGAGTCAGATATGAAAGGTTCTATTAATCTGTAGAGTAACTGATTTCTGCTCTAGCTTTTTCATTGGTGATTATTGAGACTAATCTAATTGCTTCTCATCCCCATGCCTCTTTACATTGATAATCATTAGTGGTAGATACCTCTTTTATCTTCAACCCCATGCCTCTTTACATTGATAATCGAAAGCTGAACTTCACTCCATATGGTGATAGCATGAATTATCTTCTTTAGGCCGTTTTCGAAGCCTTTGAGAAAATGGGAATCAAAGGCACATAAGCTTGTTCTGGGGACGTAGTTTTCCTGGTTGGTGGAATATCGACGACATCATTCTCTATGATTTTGATAGGTAACACCTATTTCCGTGGATTTATTTTCATATTACTAAGTAAGGTGCCTTGTACTCTATTGGATAAAAGTTGTTGCTATCTGCCCCACCTATTTTCTAGATTTTGTATCGAGGATTGCTAGTTTTGCAATGTATTTTCGATTTTTGTGAAGTATTGAACAAGTATATCTTCTAACGATGGTCTTCTCTCCTGTTGTAGTTAAAACCCTAGTGGTTTGCCCTGATTCTTTAAACCTGGTTGTTTTTCATCAGAAGCTTATATGATTAATCCAACTCAGAGTATAGGCGTTGGGGTGAGGTTTGTTTTGTTGCCTCTGAAAGTTCTGTGCATAATTCACCTTTTGCGTCCAAATGTTTTGAGTAGAGGTAGAGGACAACTTGAAGTTAAATGATTTGCCTTGCAGCCTTCACAAACTGGATTAGGATTAAACATCATGTGCACTGTCTGACTGAAGTTGTCCATTTTCTCTGTCAAAATCCATCTGGCTTGACAGTGTTGTTACGTCTTGTTGTTTTCCTTGGTACTTCTCTTTTAGATGGACACATAACTGATGTCTCTGCCATTCTATCAAACGTCTTAACCGCTTCACGAACTGTATTCGTAGTGATCGAACCATTTGATGAAGAATTCATTCAGGAAATAGAATACCACTGAATGAGGTAACTTGAGTATATTTTCTTAGTAAATCTTTAAATCTTCTGCCCCATACCTTGTGAACGCCTTCAGAATCACGTTGCTTGAATGTATTTATATCAAGTGTGATCCGGTTGACTCTGGATGGTGGAAAAAATTTAATTGCGCCATGTCGTTCCAATTGGTAACACTTTCGGCAGATAATGAATACAACTATTCTCGCGCGCTGTCTTTTAGTGTATCTGGGTATAAACACATTCGAAAGGAATCATTACATTCCTTCATGACTAACAATTTCACATAACTCCCAACATTACTGTGGATTCTCATTAGATTTCCCATAAAATTTAGTGTCCTGAATCTGGAAAAGATTTATCACATCCCATCGGTCATGAAAATTTTCTTACTCAGGAGGAGGATACGGGATGCTAGACTGAGTGTGCACTAAAGATAGGATCTTGTAATGCCAACTATCATGTCCTCTTCATCAACTAATTCTACATCTAGCTGAGTGGCTGGAATCAGATTATTCAATATTTCTAACTACCATCCTCTTTCCCTAGCTAACCTCTTCTCTGTTCTTTTTTGCGTAAAAATTCTCTGAATCTCGTGATCTAACAGTGCAATCTTGATTCTGTCAGAATCGTGCTACTGCAAACACTTCTATTCAATCACCTATAAAGAGCACAGATAGCTAGCAAGATCAGGTAAGAAATATATGCTGCCAAAAGCAAAGTAAATGTTTGAATGACATATAAACTTTTTCAATGAAATTCCGAAAGCGCACGGGATCATTGACTAGTAATAATTAGGACTAAAAGTATCATCCCTTGAAGTATAGATTCTAAGTTGAATGTACTAATCCGTAATCATCATATTTAATTGGAACAAATTAATGTTTTGATTTTCATTTTTGTTAACTACTAATTTTCGTCCTAATATTATCTAAATTCACGCGAACAATATCTATGAGAAAAATAAATATATTAGGATTCTGACTCCACCTATTATTTTTCCATTTCAATTATCAACATAATTCTCTAGTATACTTTGTGTATAATTAACAATCAATAATCCAATTTTAATTAACTCTCTTTTGAGGTAAGTCAAACCTATTTTGAAGCATGACCTAAAATATTCCTATCCTCGTATTTATATGTGAGCAATACATTCAATTTCACAATTACCTTTTTAATTGCATAAGTCACAAACTATTATTATTAGTATTTATTAGTCTTGTATTGATTATCAAAGTGTTATAGACCTATTTCGAACCTCCCAAAAACAAAATAAATAAATAAAGACACAAATTGACTAAAAGAAATTATTTTGAATTAAAATGGTAAAATTGTTATAAAACTAAAGAAATAAGAGAGAATAATAAGAAAAGAAATAGAGAAAGTCAAAAAAACTCGAGTGTTTATTTTATTGAGAATTAGTGTCCCATATTTATAGGCTTCAAATAAGAGTTACACTATGAATAAACCAGACTCATCTACAGTAAATAGGACTTATCTAAGTATCATGTTAAGACTAAATAATCAATAGTATCTATCTCATAGTTTTACGATACTCCCTTTGATGACTATTTAGACAATTATTCTTTTCATTAAAACCTGATTTGGTAAAACTTCGGTGGGATAAAAGTACCAAATGGATGGAAAAAGAGTACAAATAATTGCAACAAATTGGAGTAATAAAACGCCACATGATTAAAATCTTATCAAAAACCTAATCGGATAAAACTTGAGCTAAGGAAAAAAAGTACAACTGCTATCAGTGATTTCAATAAATGAAAACTCTTGTATTGAGTCTTTCATGTCTTGTATGTTAACGTCTTCAACATCCGAATTTGGATGAAATATCTTCATGTTGTCTTGTTATAACCTTCAAGCAATATCATATACATATAAGATACTTATCAACTTTTGATAGTAGTAACAAGATAATTCAAACAACGTCTCGTGTTGTTCTCTTCAAGAGTCTTATAAAAATATTATTTTGAATCTAAATATCTTGTAGGTTAAAGACATTCATTACACAAATAATATACCTCTTTAAAATCTTACTAGGAAAAATTCTGTAGGAAGAATTTCAATAAATGAAAAATAGTACATTATTCCTTTGAATGCACCACAATAGTTATCTCATTAAAAATCTAATCTAACAATATCTTGAATATTTAGTCCCCTCACAATACTATCACTTGAATGATATGCATGGTACCCCAAAAGTCGCCAATTTTTTTTTTCTAACAACCTTCAATGCTTCAGTTTTCTAATACTTTAAATTTCATTAGGACTCTATTCCAATAGAACGGTGCCCAAATTGAAAGTAAATTGCAATGGATGTATACTGATAAGTGTGTTTTCACACACTTATTTAGCTCACTAACATGACTTAAACATGGACAAAATAGTCGAATTATGACTTAATCTTGTTAAATTCATGCTATGTAGGTGTTTCTATGAAAAAAATGGAATTCAGAAGAAAAGAGCCGAAAAAGGACCAAAACGGAACAAAGCGATAGATCGAGGACCAAGTTGCAAATAATCCATAGATGAGACGGGAAATGAAATGACAATTCAAGAGTGTTAAAGTTCAATCGGAAGAGGAAAGGAGTCAAGAGGTGAAATATGGTCGAAGTATTATCAAGTATCAAATTTCAGGCGAAAAAGTTATGCTCGTGATTTTGAGTTTCTACTTGAGATCCATTTTTGGCATAGTAAACATCAGAATTTGAGGAAGCCTATTTCTATCAAAAGTGTACATCTTTGAGTTTTCTTCCCAATGCACTTTAAATCACTTCAATCGGATATTGGGAGAGAAAGTTATGACCAAAATATTGAAAGCTATCCGGAGGAAAAATTTTATAACCATGCGGCCGCATGGTTATAATTCCTTGCGGCCGCACAGGGTATTGCAGGGATCCAAATGAGCTGAAAAATTGAACCATGCCACCGCATGGTTTAACACCATGCGGCCGCATCGATTTAAGGTCGATAAAAAATTCTGAAATCCCGTTTTTAATTGAAACTTTTTCGGGGCTTCGTGGGGACATGATATAAAAGCCAAAATTCATCAGAAAAAGGGCAGAACGTCCAAGGAGAAGAAGAATACAACTTTTGGAGACAAAGGTCTCCACTCTCTCAATCCACCAATATATAACAAAGAGGTTTGGCAGGCCAAAAAAGACTAGAAGAAAAGAGCTAAATGAATTGGTTTCTTTAAGTCAAGCAAAAAAGTATAGAAAGTTTACGCACAATGTAAGTACTTCAGAGTGCACATTAGCAGCCACAACTAATCTATGGAAAAGAGCGAACCTAGTAATAACATGTGGAAAATGTGGTGAACTAGGATAAAATTGGAGGGTTTGTAAAGGGACACCACCACCTACACAAAATTATGGACATTTAGTAACTATGTCTGCCCACATGTTGCTCCTGTAACTTTTTTGTTCAATGCACATGTAGTGAATAGATGGTAGGGCTTAGTTTAAATGCACAATATTATGATATGTGAAGATTTTTCTAATGTGTCTGAATTGCTGAACAAATAAAAGTCAAACGATGTGCTTGAATTATTGAATTATTATAACGGATTTTGTTGAACAGTTGGTTTTGCTGAATTTTAAATGCATAGTTCGTTGTGAAATTTACAGTTGGTCTTGCTGTGTCTGAATTGTTGTGTTAGAGTTTGTTAAAGGTTTTGGGCTGCCTCGCTAAATCTTGTGTCGGTTGGGCCATTTTAATTACAACCGGGTTGCTGATTGTTAGATGAAAAACGTGTTTTTGATACAACACGATTTTAGCCTCTTTTCAGGGATGAGAATCAGCCGTACGCGTGGCTTCATTCCAGCCCTTTGATCGTGACTATTGGTGTGGATAGATATATATTTGACCTTGGCCCTGTTCATATTTCAGATGCCTTTTTTTCATATTTTTTCTCCTCTCCATCTCTTCTACTTTTCTGAGTGAAAAGTTAGGGTTTTATCTCTGTAATCTGAAATTGATCTTTGTGATTGATAGTTGTTGTTCTTAGTGGTAATCTCTGATTGCTTAGTGCGAGATATAGAAAAATCAAAAGTGTGAGGATTTTTCAGTTAAAGAGGCAAGAGAAAAATCGAAGAAATCAAACATTTCTTCGTACATTTTGTAAATTGATTCTTGGTTGATATTAGTGGATCTCGAGCTAAATCCCTTAGTGTATGCTCAACGGGTGATTAGGTCTTACGACCAAACATCCGGGCCCTTTCAAGGGCAAAATCACATCCGATGTTCTTGCTCTTTTATGTTCTGCAATTTCTTTGAATGTTTTTTACTCAAATTAGATCAAATCAAAAGGTTTCGAAAATAACAGTGGTATCAGAGCATTTTTCTGAAACCGTGTGTTTTTTATTTCATTTTTCTGAAACCGTGTGTTTTTTGATTTCATTTTTTTTTGTAAAATTCCTTTTACAAGAAACCCTAGTTCTTCGTTTATATAAAAAAAATTTAAAAGAACTTCAGATCTGTAATTTTTTGGTTTTCAAAGTTTAAGAT